CTTGACACCCCCCCACCCCCACCCCCACCCCCCGTTAGTAGTTGCTTCTGACACACAGGAAGTGTGTCACTGGGGGTGGACTCTGAGATCGCAAAGCCTGGCCTACCTCCAGCTTGCTCCTTCTGCGTCATGCTGGTGGCTTAAGACATAACTCTCAGCTTCCTTTTTCTGCTTGCTGCCACATCTCCAAGCCATTATGGACCCTTATCCCTGCAGAACCATACGCCCAGATGCCCGCTGCCTTGACTGAGTTGCCTTGCTCACGGTGTTTCATCACAGCAGCAGCAAAGCAACCAGTCCACCTTCCTGCCTGCACGCTACGTGGGAGTCTGCTGGTGTGCCTGCGCCCACGCACCTGTGTGCGGCCTAGGCAGGCCAACCTGGGTGCTGGTAGTTATTCTTATCCGTAGATGACTCCTTACATTCTCTTCAACCTCCCAGCCTTCTGTAACACCCCCCCCACACACACACACACACACTTTCTGGCTCTGGAGCTTGGACGTCAGTTACTGAGTGAAAATCGGCAGCTGTGACAGGTGCATGGGAACTACCTGGAGCTGGTGGACAGACCACAGCCACACCGTTGGGATGACCACCGCTTGGGGATCTTTTTTCCTCAGCAAAGGGGAATGTCTGAGTTTGTGGGGTAAAGGGAGGGGTGACAGTGTACTCCTGAAAACAGAAAGGATTCTAAGGTTTAGAGTTATGAAAGGCTCTGTCAGCCTTGAGCTTTGGGGGTCAATGAAGAGTGATGAAGAGGGGGATGCAATTTAGGCAATCAGCCTTTTTTATTTTCAAGTGTGAACACAATAGAACACAGGATGGATGCCTTAACTCTGCGGATAGAATGGATTGCGTAGTTCCCATGAGCCCACTGAAGTTGAACCCACAGTTATACATGAAGATGTATGCACTTCTCCATGAAGAGATGCACAAAATTTTAGTTTCTAAGGTGCTGGGAGGTCCTGTGGTCGGAGGTTATAGTCTACCATGGCCTGGCAGCCCTCTTCAATCTCAGCAACATGGATGATTCCATCCCCTGGGAGGAAGGCTCCCTGTTCTCTACCTGACTTTATTTGGAGACTGTCGCTAGGCCCAGATCCCTGACTTATCTCTAGTGTGACCCTGGACACAGTTCCCTGCCCTGCAGAAGCTTTCCCTTTGCTGCCCACAGATAATTAGACATTGTGCTGGGAGCCTTATGATAGGACCAAACATCCACAGATGATAATAACTGAGACTTGTACTGGAACTTTATGATAGGAATGTGTTGTTTAATGCAAGTTAGGTGATTCTCCAGCTGTCGTTCCCAATCCTATATATTCCCTACACTCTGGAACACCGCTGAGCTGATTCACTGAAGTCATTTCCTGAAGGGCTATCTCCACCATACTCACAGGTTGGACAAGGCCCTGCTTGCCACGTCTGTCCTCTTTGCCCCCTTGGCCCAGTGGCCAATGGGCTGTGGAGGAGGAGGGGACCTGCACTAATCTGCACCCTATGCATGCACTGGTTTGGGGGAGCCTATTCCCTATGGAGGGATGCCTTGTAGGTGGGAGGGTCTAGGCTCTGCCTCAACTTGGTATGCCAGACTTTGTTGACTCCCCAAAGAAGGCCTTACCCATTCTGAGGAGTAGATGGGGGTTGGGATAGGGGAGAGCTGAGGGGGTGGGAGAAGGAGAGGAAGGGGAACTGGGGTTGGTATATAAAATGAGAAAAAAAATTAAATAAAAAAAAGGATCTGCACCCTAAAAATGTCAGAATGCAACAACCACCAGAACCAGTGAAATATGTGCCTGACACTAAAGTTGTTTCGTGGATGGACGCCAGGCTGCCAAGGCTGGGCCACTGGTGTGGCGTGCAGCTTAAATAAAGCTTTGCTGTGTTTCCTTGTTATTTGGTTCATAATGAGAGAGAAATGAAATTATATTTATTTCTTAAAGAGGAAATATGTGGCCTTCGGGTCACAAGAGTGGGAGAGTGACCCTGCACCTCTCCTGAGCAGCACAGTAGAGCTGACCCTGCTGACAGAGACACAGGTAGTCTCGCCCCACCAATCTGTGTGAGCGATCTGGCCCCACCCCTCATCTGTCATACGGTGAAGTGGGCGATGGAGAGATGCCCTCCCCCAGCCCCACCCTTTGCCACCTATGGTAGGAGGGAGAGCTGGCCCTGCCTCTTACCAGCTGCAGCCACTCAGGGGAACTGGCCCTGCACCTTGCCTGGACAGCACAGTACAGCTGACCCTATTGGTGGTGGTGGTGGTGGTGGGTGTTATAAGTGAGCTGGCCCTGAGGGCAGGAGAGCAGGAGAGCTGATCCCACCCCCCTCATCTGCCATTTGGTGGCATGGGTGAGGGAAAGATGCCCTTACCCCAACCCTGGTCCCTTGCCACTTGTGGCAGGCAGGAGAGCTGGCCCTGCCTCTCACCAATGGCAGCACTCAGCAGAAAGAGCCCTGCACCTTGCCTGGGCAGTGTGGGTTCAGGTGGGCTGGCCCCGAGGGCTGCCGTTGGTAGAAAGAGTGTAAGAGCCAGAGGTGGTAGGTGACTATAAGAAGACTCTGCTTTCTAAACAGAGTGGGAGGGGGCGGTTGCATGTGGTGGTGACAGTGTGCACACATTCTGTGCACACTCAAGCCAGACAAAACCCTAGCATGGGGCCAGGGGATGGGCGCAAAGTCCCACCCCTAGCTGAGGAGCTACTGGTAATTGATAGTTACTGCTAAAAGACAGCTCTCTTGAAGGGTGTGACCCCTGGGCAGGTCTAGCATGCTCCAGTGAATGACCACACCCAAAAGCATGTAGGCATCACTAACTGAACTCCACAGGTTTAAAAAAAGAAATAAAGACACAAAGTTGGGTCAGTAAAGAATGGGGTGTGGATCTGGGAGATGAGGGAGAGAGATGAATATGATCAAAATATAATATGTGAGATTCTCAAGAAATTGATAACATTAAAAAAAACTAGGAGAAAGAGAAGTGGGAACAAAACCAATGGAGAGTGCTTAAGTGTGTATATCTGTGACATACTTCCTGAGCCACTAACACACTTAGATAATTTCCACTCAAAGAACACAAAGAGTTTCATTTACTCCTTCTTCCCTGAAACACGAACGGCCTTAGTGAATAGCTCGGATGTGACCTCAGAGCCGCATTCTGTTTAAATAGCACCCTTCATCCAGTCCAAGCCGGTCTTCACACATTTGGGATGAAATTGGACTTTTCCTCACTCCTTACAGCAGTGCTCTCTAAAGCGTGGTACCCAGGCCAGCAGCAGTAACAGGCACATCTATAACTTGTCAGAAATGCAGACATGGTGCCCTTTCCCAGAACTATTGGATTAGGAGCCCTAGGGAGGAGAGTGAACAATCCATGCTCTGCAGATCTTCCAGGATCCAGGACTCTGGGGCTCCTGTCCCTTCAGGAGCCACTGCATCTACATAGAGCTAAGTGACAGATAGCCTCAATGGTGAGGGAGAAACCTCAGCCTCTTCCTTTGTGCTCACTATCTTTATAGAGAGATTGGCTTCCCTGCATCCGGTCACCTACTGGATGGACCAAGGGCTATGACGCACTCAAAGCAAAGAGTTCATTTATAGACCTACAGAAGACCTCTGTAAATGGAGCCAAGGTCAAATTTAAGGGATTCACTCAACACGTGGCTAGTATCAAAACCCATATTTAAAGTTTATATCAAATCTGAAGTCATGATATTGTTTGAAATTCTAAAAGCACTTACCTGCTTTGGTAATGGGTCCAGAAGAGTGCAGTCGTATTTATAAAGCACTAAGATAATGCATATTTGGATCTCTAACAGAGCAAACCACCTGAAGAAAAAAACATAAGGCAATTACTTGTCTCTAAAAGACACATGAGTACTTCAGTCTTTCTTAATACCACTGAGTGGCTGGGATGGCTCAGTTGCTTTAGAAGATGTATAAATGCTTAGTCATTAGGTGAACACAAATGAAAATCTATGTCTTTTAAGATGTATTTTAGCTGGGCAGTGGTGGCGCACGCCTTTAATCCCAGCACTCGGGAAACAGAGGCAGGTGGATCTCTGTGAGTTCAAGGTCAGCCTGGGCTACAGAGTGAATTCCAGGAGTGAATTCCAGGAAAGGCGCAAAGCTACACAGAGAAAACAAAACAAAAAAGATGTATTTTATCTTAATTTGTCTATGTAGGTATGTCTGTGTCTGTATGTACATCTGTGTGCATGTGAATCTACCCTCAGAGGCCAGAAGATAAACAGGCGCATGCGCACATTTATAAACAAAAGTAAATCAAAATGTTACATTGTATCTTAGCTAAAAGAAAAAGTATGAAAATATGATTTTACCCAAATTTAAATATTTGGACATTCTAGTGGAATTTTCTCAGGTACCCACTGGAGGTAAATTTTTGGCAATGGCAAAATAAAAGTTTTAGGCATTTACTACAACGTTGAGTTTTCTTCCATGGCTAACACGAGAATCTGACCATCTGTGGCACTCAGTATTTTTTTTTTTCAGAGTTCGTCAGAAGCCAGCTGAGCTAGGTTCATGCTAAGAATGTTTTCTCAACACTTCCAATGTCAAAATAGTGAAAATAATGAGGTGTGTTATTTATAACAGATTCAGTTTTTACACTTACAGGAACAAGAGTGCACATCTAGAAAGAAAACTCATTAAAACACAAACATGTTGAAAATTCCTTAGATACTTAGCACTTGTGGATTCTCCCCAACTGTAAATACCCGTCAGGACACAGCTGTAGGGGCTTTGGGAAAAATGAGGTCCCAGCGAGGCTGCCAAGGCTGAATGGGGTGAGAGGGAAAGGGTAAGAAGTAGGGCAAAGGGGATATGGTGAATGTGGGCACACAGACGCTGCAGAGACCTGGGGCCTGGAGAGGGCACTGACCTGGCTGTTCCTGAAGGCAAACCTGAGCTCGATCTTCGGGGAGGACCGGCTTTAACTACGCAGGCATGGTGACTGAAAGCCTTTTAGTGCACCGAGAGCAGGGAGCATGGGGGTCTGGATACGGCTGGATAACCCCTGGGGGAGGGTCGCCAGGGCCTTCCAAAGACACAGCTGGGGTCACATTAACAGCGAACCAGGAGTCCTGACAGGTAAGGGTCTGATCGGCAGCATCGGTGTCAGGCTCCTCCTAATCAGAGAGCGGCATTCACAGAACGATTTCGGGAACATTCATCCTTGCATACTAAAGATGGAGGAAAGGGAGTGAGTGGGGAGCCAGGGTAGCTGACATAAACTATCACCTGAGGAGCTGGTTCCACAGGGGAGAACACAGGTGGGGTGACAGAGTGGGGGTGGGGTGGGCAAAAGACAACCTGGACTAGGTGTCTCGGAGGATAGCAATGTATGTCAAAGAAACGGAGAGCTAGGATCGGGTGGAATTACTGATTTCCATTTCGGATGTTTTGATTTTGAACAAACTTTTATCGTTGCTCTTGTTTTGGTTGCTGTCGGTTTCAAGCCCAAGAAGTCCTAGAACCCCATACGCAATCCCAGGCTGTCCTTGAACCTCTTCTGTCTCCTGCATACTTGGATTACAGGTATGTGCCACCACATCTGGCTTCTCCCTGACTTTTAAAGAGGAAAAACCTCTCTTTTTTCCTCCTAGAAGTCACTGCAGATGATGCCAGGGAGGGCTGGAAAATCATCCCCGCTGCCAGGAGCAGGAGGAGCTCTGCCGTGTATTCCTGGTTGCTACCAGCTGCAGCACATGAAAATAGAATGCTCTTGCCCTGGAATTCAGAGATGGCAGCAGGCAGGCATAGTTTCAGAGGTATCATACATTGAAGCATAGCTCTTCAAGTTCAAGAGGAGGTGCTTCCCCACAATCTCATCCTCTTAAGAAATCTTGGAGGAGGGTAAAAATCAAGTACGTGGCAGGAGGCAAAATAACCCAGACTCAGTGGTTCTCCACCGTCAGCATCTGTCAGAATATCCTGGGAGAAGGGGGAAGGCAGAGCTCACTGCACCTTACCCTTGGGTTTCTGACTCCAAAGGAATGGGACAAGACACAAGCTCTGTGTTTTGTGCAGGTTTCTAGGTAGTTTTTCCACTGGTGTTGTGAAGCCCACAACTTGGAAATTGATAATCTAGAGGAATTTAGTGAAGAGAAGGGAGGAACGCATGCTGGCAGGTGTAGACTTATCATTGCTCTTCATTTTAGTGCCCCACATCCAGATGACAAAGAATCCATGAAAGGATTTGGCTGAGGCATGAGACTTTTGTCGGGGTGACAGTAGGCATAGACAGGAAGAAGAAAGGTAAATACTTTGTGCTGAGTGAGGAAAATCAAATGGAAGAGGATATGACGGTAAGAATGGTGTGGGAGTGAGGTGGGGGTGAGAAATCACGCACAGGGTAAGAGGGCTTGTTGCTCGTTCAGAAGACTGGAGTTTGGTCTGCACTGAATGTGCTTTTACTCACGGAGCCATCTTGCTGACCCTAATCTCTCCTCCTCCTCCTCCTCCTTCTTCTTCTTCTTCTTCTTCTTTCTTGAGACAAGTTCTTATTATATAGAGCAGTCTGGCCTCCCAATCACAGAGGTCTCTCTGCCTTTGTCTCCCAAATGCCAGAGTTAAAGCCATGCACCACCATGTCCAGCCCACCCCAAGGAATGCTATTGAATGCAGGTCTGACATTTTATTGAGATTTATTTTTAAGAATGTGATTTAATTTTTTTTAATGTATGGATGTTTCTGTTTTGCCTGAATGCATGTTTGCATCACACGTGTGCAGTGGCAGTTGAGGCCAGAAGAAGGCATGGGATTCTCTGGAACTAGAGTTGTTAGCTACCACCTGGTGCTGGACACCGAATCTGGGTCCTCTTCAAGAGGAACAAGCCCTAACCACTGAGCCATCAATCCAGGCTTTTTACATCAATTATTCATAAGAAATGTTGCTCTATCTAATGTTTGCTTTGTGGTATTTCGGTGTGGAGTTAACTGTGGTAGTGCTGACCTCATCAGATAAATTAGGAACTTGTCTCTCCATGTTTTGAACAAGTTTGAGAAGGGTTGAGATTACTTAATGATGCACCTGAAGGCTTTGGGTGAAGGAAAGCAAACAAAAAGAGAAGATGGGAAGAAATATTCAAAGTCAGGGATGACAAAATTAATGAAAAAGAAAAGAAAAAATACAAATAATCAATTAAGCCAAGAGTTGGGACTTTAAAAAGATTAATAAAACTTTGGCCAAATTGAAAAGACCAAAATTAATAAAACATGAAATGAAAAGTGAGTCATTACAACAGACATTGAGGAAATTCAGAAAATCATAAGGACAAACTTTGTTCACAAAATAACATCAAGTACCTACAATATACCAAATTAAAAGTATAAAAGTAATACACCAAAACATTGCTGGGTATTGAGAGATGGTGCATATTACTGTGCAGTTATTTTTTTCTACTTATCTATAATCATGACTGTTCTAATAGCTTACAAAATTAATTTTAAATAGAAAAATGAGTTCATGACTTTTTTGTGAAAGGGGAAAGGATGTATTTATAATACTGCTCTCCAATTTTGAAAGAAAAAAGTTAATGTTACTAAACTGGAAAAGCTACAAGAAACCAATTTCTAAATGTAGCTGACATACAAAAGTTAATCAAGATGAAATAAATAACTTAAACAGACACATAACCACCAATGAGACAGCAGTAGTTAATACTCTCCCAACCAACAAGAGTCAAGGGCCAGACAGATTCAGCACAGAATCATACACAGAGTGCAGCTTGCACACATGAACTCACAGTGGCTGGGACTGAATGCCAAGATCTGTACAAAATCAAGCCAGTCCAAACCCCAGCAAGGATACTAGAGGGACTCATGAAAGTCTCCCCACCCCACCCTCATCTCTGTGTGAGGAGCTATTGGTAATGGAAGCTGCTGGAAAGGGGACAGTAGAGTCAGTTTTCTTCAGGGATGCAATCCTTGAATAGATACCCATGCTCCAGTAGATCTAATACCCAGGCACATACAGGCAGTACTACATAGACTCAGTGGGTATTTTTTAAATGAATGAAAGGAAGGAATGAAAGAAAGAAAAAAGAAAGGGAGGAAAAGAAAGAAGGAAGGATAAAAGGAAGAAGGGAAAAGGGGGAGGGAAAGGGGGGAGAGAAGGGAGTAGATGGAAGGAGGGGGGAGGGATGATACAAAGTTGGAGGGGAGAAGTGGCGGCGGGGGGTGGTAGAAGAGAAATTGAAGGGAATGAGGGGTGGGTTTGATCCAAACATATTATATGCAAGTATGACTGTTTAATATATTTTTAAAAGGAACAACCACAACAGAAAAGGACAGATGCAATCAGTTCTGTGTCTACAGGCCTCTTTATTCACATCTGAGAGGAAGTGACCACTCTTGAAGTCTTAGTAGGAGTCCTGATATCTAACTTTCTTGCTGCAAATACCTGCCATCACCTAGACTAACTACTATGGGAGGAAAAGATGGATCTGGGTTTGAATGAACTGATTCACTGAGGGGGCAGTGACCCACATCAGTAAAGTGGGTGGAATCAGAGCCACAGAACACCATGGCTCTCCATGTGAAAATTAAGACTACCAGAAAGGGAAAAGGAATGAAGTCATGGCAAGATAGAGGCCAACGGCTGATACTGGGGCCCAGTGCACTTCAGTTCCAGCCCCATTTTCTGAGGAGTTAAACCCTCTCTCTCTGGTTTTATTTTGAGACAGGGTCTCACATGGCTCAGGCTGGCCTTGAACTCTTGATCTTCCTCCCTCCATCTCCCAAGGGCAGGGATTACAGATATGCACCAGCACACCTGCCTTTTTCTGAACAGAACATATCTCTCTTTC